TCTTTCCCTCTTCCTTCCTCTCTGAAATCAACAAGAACATATTTTTTAAAAAGAAAGAAAGAAAGGCTGGTGTTGGCCAATGAAGGAGCAAGTTCCCTGCAGAAGCGAGGGTGAGAGAGCAGCCTTTCTGGTGAAACTGCTTCCACGGGTTCCATGAAACAGCTGCTCCGCTGTTCCCGGGAGGAGGGCACTCAGAGGCCAGCCTGCTGGCAGCTGGCTTGCTGGTCGCTGCTGCCTGAGGCCCCTTGTCACGACCCTCTGAGCCATTCCCACCCAGGGGCCTGGGCATGAGCCCCTTCTCCAGAACTTCTCCAGGACTCATCAGAACTCCCAGCCTGGCAGGGATTGGGGGCATAGGGCAGCGGAGGTGCCACCTCAGGGTCCCATGTCAGAGCTCACCCCCCTCAGGTGGATGGGGAGTGTGTCCACCTGAAGCGCAGAGGCAGGTGAACGACAGGAGGGGCTGTTTCTGAGAATTAGGGATGCCTTGCGGCCTCTGGAATCTGTGGCTGGGCCTGCAAGCCTCCTCCTCCTCCTGCCCTCGCCCAGCCTGGCAGCCAGCATGAGGCTCCTCCACATCCTGCTGCTGCCTCTCTGCCTGCTCTTCGCCCAGGTGGGCCCAGGTGAGCTGGGGACCCTCAGGCACTGTGCCCGGGGCCGGGAACCAGGTGAAGGGAGCTGTGAGGACAGTTGCAGACACTGTGCCCTGTCCAGGCCCTCATTTATCAGACAGATATGACGGCTTTACTGCAGTTATGCCTCAGGGTGCCCATATGGAAAGTGGGTAGGAAAGTTTCCTCATTCAGAGGTTTTAATGTTTGAGGTTGGAACCTGCTCAGTGCGGATTATTTCTTAAACAGACACGAGTATTTGTGGAACAGAGCAGGTGTGTTCTGGTGACTGTGTGAAGAGGAGGAACCTTATTTGGGGACAAACTGGGTGCTCTGCACAGCTCTCTGGGCAGAAGGAAACCCCACTTAGAGCCCTGCTGCTGATCGTCACCTTTGGTTTGGCGTCTGTGGGCACCAACCTCAGATGGAGGGCACAGACCCCAGATGGAGGGCACAGGCCTTTGCATGAGCAGCCCCAGAGGTCAGTGGGGGCGAAGGTTTTGGGAGGGCACCGTCTCTGCAGTGCTCTGTGAAGAGATGTGTGTCTGTGTCACCAAGTGTCCTGCAGCCATGTTGGCTGTGTGCCAGGAGCCTGATGTGTCTTCATTGCATCCTCCCAGGTGCTGGCCTCCTTCTGAACATGTTTGCTGGGAGTCCCAAGTTTGCCGACAGGGAGCAAGGAGGAGGAGGGGCTGCTACCTCTCCTGGTGCCATAACACACACAGGAGACTGCAAGATGCTATAGAGAGAATGTCAGGTGCTGCATTTAACCTGGAGCCTTGGGGGAGACAAAGCCATAGGAACCTCTTGTAAGCCTTGTTTTCCCACAAGAAAACCTTTTTTTACAGCACGGCTCCTTCAGACCCACATGAACCCTGTGTCTCCTTTCTGAGGAGGTCAGGAAAGCCAGGTTAGAAGGGACACAAGCCAGGCTGCTCAGCCTGCAAGCTCAGGATGAGGGTGGTGAGCAGGGCTGTGGACACATCACCACCTCCTCATTTCATTACCAAAGAAGCATGGTTATAAGTAGCTCCTGTGGCTTCAACCCATGAACCAGGAAGTCTGTTTGATTTCTGCTCAGGGCACATGCTCGTTTGTAAGCTAGATCCCCAGGAGGGGCCCGGCAGGAGGCAGCCCATCAATGATTCTCTCTCATCATTGATGTTTCTATCTCTCCCTCTCCCTTCCTCTCTGATTTAAATAAAAATATATTTTAAAAAGAGTATGTGCCGAAACCGGTTTGGCTCAGTGGATAGAGCGTCGGCCTGCGGACTGAAAGGTCCCAGGTTCGATTCCGGTCAAGGGCATGTACCTGGGTTTAGGGCACATCCCCAGTAGGAGATATGCAGGAGGCAGCTGATCGATGTTTCTCTCTCATCGATGTTTCTAACTCTCTATCTCTCTCCTTTCCTCTCTGTAAAAAATCAATAAAATATATTTTAAAAAAAAAGAGTATGACCTGCAAATTCACATGTAGCTGTGGATAAACAGCCTGCTGACTTCAAGCAATGATTTTCAACCTGTGTGGCTGCACGAATTCCTGAAACATGCCATGCTGACTCTTTAGACAGGGACACTGACCTCATTTCCCTTTGCTTGTCCCGTAAAACAATCACAAAAACCAACACAGCAATAGCTGCCTGCTGTGCATGACTCAAAACTATGCCTAATTTTTGTCAGATTGGGCAAATATATATGTCTTGGTGTGCTGCAGAGGTTGAGTGGTGAGTGTGTGTGCCATGAGATGGAAAAGGTTGCAAATCACTGGCCTTAAGGACTGCAGGAGCCAACCTCAAAGGAAGCCGACTCCAGCCTGCAGGCGTTTTGGGTCCAGAGGATTTGATCACCTTGGAGGAAAGCCAGAGCCTCCTGGACCAGGTCCCAGGTGGTTCCCTGAGCAGACGGTGCTGACTGGCACCCAGCACCCTCTGCTTCCCCTGGTTTGCCTTCCTCTTCCTGCTCACACACCCCTGCTGCCCTCACATTTTAGGAGGGTCCTTGTGCCCTGGCCGGTGGCTCAGCTGCTTGGAGCCTGACCCTGTGCATCTAAGGTTGTGGTCTGATTCCCAGGCCAGGTACATACCTGGGTGCAGTTCCCATCCCTGGTTGGGTGCATATGGGCGGTGGCTGATTGATGTTTCTCTCTTTTTTTCTCTAGAATCAATGGCCCCTGTGAGGCTGCAACGGCCCCTGCGAGGCTGCAAAGGACTCTGCGAGGCTCCAACATCTCCTGCAAGGGTTTGATGGCCCTTGTGAGGCTGCGTGAGGTTGAGACAGCCCCTGTGAGGCTGCGATGGCCCCTGTGAGGCTGCGAAGTCCCCAGTGAGGCTGTGTGAGGCTGTGGCAGCCCCTGCAAAGCTGAGATGGTCCCTGTGAGGCTTCAATGGCTCCTGCAAGGATGCGACAGCCCCTGTGAAGCTGCGTGAGGCTTCAACTGACCCTGTGAGGCTGCGACAGACCCTGTGAGGCTCCAACATCCCCTGCAAGGCTGCGATGGCCCCTGTGAGGCTGCGATGGCCCCTGGGAAGCCGGCGGAACTGTGCGAGCCGCCCAGATGGCTTCGTCGACGGCCCACGAACCAGCTCGCAGCCCCATGCACAACTATCACCAGAAGGGCAAGAGGGGCAAGAGCAGCTGTAGTGTTGCTTTCTCCTCACTTTTGGTAGCGAAATCCCCATTTTAAAAATAAGAGGATACGTTATTTAAAAAAGCCATTATGTGGCTCTGTACCCTTTCTGAGTAGAGCGTGAACAAGTCATGAGAGACCTTTCCGAACACAGGGACACATTGCAGATGGAAATACCTACATTTTCCATGTGTATGACCTTTGACCTGGAGACAAAAAGCGTACACCTATGGATGAGGACAAGTGGGGGTGGGGTAAGGGCAGAGGGTGGGGTGGGAATTGGGTGGAGGGGAGCTATGGGGGGAAAGGGGAGAACAACTGTAATAATCTGAACAATAAAGATTTATTTAAAAAAATAAAAATATATATCTTTATTGATTTCAGAGAGGAAGGGAGAGGGAAAAAGAGATACAAACATCAATGATAAGACAGAATCATTGATTGGCTGCCTTTTGCATGTCTCCTACTGGAGATCAAGCCCGCAACACAGGCATATTCCATTGACCAGAATTGAAACTGGGACCCTTCAGTCTTCAGGCTGATGCTCTTTCCACGGAGCTAAACCAGCTAGGGCCTCCCACAATTTCAAGGCCCACGAGGGTGGGCGGGGACTTCACTCTGGGTCCCAGGGTGCACGCCAGACTCTGACAGGAGGAAGATTTTCATATACACTTTACTAACTTTCTTTTATCTCTGACATTTCTATCATAGAGAAAGGGCAAATAGCAATATTAAAATATTTCCTCTAGTTAATTCCCTTTAATGTGTACAAATTTCATGCCCTGGGCAACTAGTCATATTAATATAAGGTCAGATGATGTTGCCTAGCCTCCGTCCTGCTTGCCTACAGCACTCTCTTCACTAACAACTACTTAATGTCCGATCACCTGCACGGTTAAGTTTATATGAATGGACACCTTGGATAACACCCCATATACTGTACTCGGACACCAAGCAACCTCGCAGGCCTCGTGCAGACCCTGTGCTAAAAAGGCCCCTTACAAAGAGCAGTTTCTGAGCCAGTCAGAAGGGGTTAATGTGCCCTGGGCAGCAGCCAGGGTGCAGGAGGGATTCTGTCAGGGTGACTCGATGGGGCAGGTGCTGGAGGAGAAGTGACCCCATCGTGGAAGCTGTGCATTGGAGTGTTGTCACGTGAAATGACCTGCTGTCTTGTCAGCTAAGTGATCTGTGACTGAGCTCCAGGGTCCCGTGTGACCATGCCTCCCCTATCCGCCTAGAAATACTATTCAGCCTTGGAAAGAGGGAAGTTATGACCCGTGCTGCAACACGGATCAACCAAGAGGAATCATGTAGAATGAAATAAGCAAGACACAGAAGCAAAAATGCCATAGGATTCCACATAGATGACGTTCCTGGAGTCATCAAAGTCAGAGACAGAAGGTGGAACGGTGGTGGCCAGGGGTCGGGCGAGGGGGCGTAAGTGTTTAATAAGCACAGAGTTGCTCTTTGGAAGATGGAAAGTTCTGGAGATGGACAGTGATGAAGGCTGCAACAATGTGAATGCCTTCAATGCCACTGTGCTGCACAATTAAAGACGGTTAAATCATCGGATTCCATTATGTATATCTGACCACAACTGACACTGAGCCAATGTCATGGAAAGACATCCCAATGCGAAGAAGACGTCCCTTGTGAACACACCAGGCACAGAGGCTTCACATTCGACAGAACAATGTCCTGGGGACACCAACCCAGGTTCAGCTGTCTGCCGCTCGAAAGCCAGTACTCAAGGGACAGGGTGTGATGGAGCAAAACAGGTTTATTCAAGAGCCAGCAGCTTGAGGAGATGGGGGGCTCTCACCCCAGAGATCATCTTTACATTTTTGTTTTTCAATCTTCAACCCAGGACATGTTTGCATTGATTTTAGAGAAAAAAAGAGAGAAACATCAATCAGCCACCGCACATATGCGCCCCAACCGGGGATGGGAACTGTCACCCAGTTATGTACCCGGCCTGGGTATCAGACCACAACCTTAGATACACAGGATCAGGCTCCAAGAAGCTGAGCCACCAAAACATGTATATTTGGCCAATCTGACAAAAAGTAGGCATAGTTTTGATTCATGCACAGCAGGCAGCTATTGCTGTGTTGGTTGTTGTGATTGTTTTACTGGACAATCAAAGGGAAATGAGGTCAGTGCCCCTGGCTGAAGAGTCAGCATGGCATGTGTTAGGAATTCGTGCAGCCACACCAGTTGAAAATCATTGCTTGAAGCCAACAGGCTGTTTATCCACAGCTACATGTGAATTTGCAGGTCATTCTTTTTTTAAAAATATATTTTTATTTATATCAGAGAGGAAGGGAGAGGAATATAGAAACATCAATGATGAGAGAGAATCATTGATCGGCTGCCTCCTGCAGGGGCCCTCCTGGAGATCTAGCCCACAAACCGGGCATGTGCCCTGACACGGAATCAAATAGTGACTTCCTGGTTCATGGGTTGAAGACACAGGAGCTACTTGTGAGCATGTTAGTTTGAAAATGAAATGGGGTTGGGGGGGTCAGGTCACGTGGCCCCATCCCTGCTCACCACCCTCATCCTGAGCTTGCAGACTGAGCAGCATGGCCTATCTGGCTTCAAACCTCACTTTCCTAACCTCCTCAGAAAGAGACAGAGGGTTCATGTGGGTTTAAAGGAGCCATGCTTTAAAAAAGGTTTTCTTTTAGGAAAACAACCCTTACAAGTAGTTCCTATGGCTTTGTCTCCCCATTGGACTCACCTCGGAGGCAGCACCTGGCCCTCCCTTGGTAGCAGTAGCCAACGTTCTGAGAGGGTTGTGAGCATCGGATGAAGCTGCAGACGCCCCCCATAAGGACGCATTTGTCTTCTTGGCTTTCTTTTTTTTTCTCCACCTTTTTGCCCAGACTCATGAGGAGGCCAGCACCTGTGAGAAAAAAAAAGACATGTCCACTTTGCAGGCAATGTGACTGCAGGAGACTTGGTGACACAGGACAAATGGCCCTTAGCAAAGCACTGCAGAGACGGTGCCTCCCAGGAACTTCGCCCCCACTGGCCTCTGGGGCTGCTCATGGAAGGGCCTGTGCCCTCTGTCTAGGTCTATTCCAGCTGCCAGAGGTGTGTGTCCTCTATCTGAGGTCTATGCCCTCTGTATGAGGTCTGTGCCCTCTGCCTGAGGTTGGTGCCCACTGAGGACAAACCAAAGCTGAGGATGAGCAGCAGGGCTGTGAGTGGGGTTTCCTTGTGCCCAGAGAGCTGTGCAGAGCACCCAGTTTTCCCCAAATAAGGTTTTACCACTTCTCATTGTCACCAGAACACATGCGCTCTGTTCCACAAATACTTGCATCTGTTTAAGAAATAATCTGCACTGAGCTCTGCCGTGGAGCCCTGAGCTGGCTCCTCCACTGCTCTATCCCCCGTAACCCCCACCCCCCAGGTTGGAAGATGGAAAGTTCTTGAGATGGACAGTGATGAAGGCTGCAACAATGTGAATGCCTTCAATGCCACTGAGCTGCACAATTAAAGACGGTTAAATCAGTGAATTCCATTCACGTCTATCTGACTGCTACTGACACTGAGCCAATGACATGGGAAGACATCCCAATGCGAAGGAGATGACCCTTGTGAACACACCTCCAGGCACAGAGGCTTCACATTCGACAGAACAATGTCCAGGTGACACCAACCCAGGTTCAGCTGCTGCTGCTCCAAAGCCAGTACTCAAGGGACAGGGTGTGATGGAGCAAAGCAGGTTTATTCAAGAGCCAGCAGCTTGAGAAGATGGGGGACTCTCTCCCCAAAGATCATCTTTACTTTTGTTTTTCAAATCTGACCTCAGGACATGTTTCCATTGATTTGAGAGAGAGGGAGAGAGAGAGAGAGAGAGAGAGAGAGAGAGAGAGAGAGAAAGTGGGAGAGAGAGAGAGAGACATCAGCCACCACCCATATGTGCCCCAACCAGGGATGGAAACTGCCACCCAGGTATGTGCCCTGCCTGGGAATCAGACCACAACCTTAATGCACAGGGCCAGGACACAAGGACCATCCTAACAGGTGAGGGCAGCAGGGGTGCAATAGCGGGAAGAGGAAGGCAGACCAGGGGAAGCAGAGGCTGCTGGGTGCCAGTCAGCACCGTCAGCTCTGATAACCACCTGGGACCAGGTCCTGGAGGCTCTGGCTTTCCATTCCCTGCCCTGGGAAAGCTACAGAGTCCTATGGACAGTGCCATATATATTTGCCCAATTTGACAAAAAAATAGGCATCATTTTGAGTCATGCACAGCAGGCAGCTATTGCTGTGTTGGTTGTTGTGATTGTTTTACTGGACAGTCGAAGGGAAATGAGGTCAGTGCCCCTGTCTAAAGAGTCAGCATGGCACGTTTTAGGAATTCGTGCAGCCACACAGGTGAAAATCATTGCTTGAAGCCAGAAGGCTGTTTATCCACAGCTACATGTGAATTTGCAGGTCATACTTTTTTAAAAATATATTTTTATTTATATTAGAGAGGAAGGGAGAGGGAGAGATAGAAACATCAATGATGAGAGAGAATCATTGATTGGCTGCCTCCTGCAGGGCCCCTACTGGGGATCTAGCCCACTAACCGGCCATGTGCCCTGACCAGGAATCAAACAGACTTCCTGGTTCATGGGTTGAAGCCACAGGAGCTACTTATAAGCATGTTGCTTTGGTAATGAAATGAGGAGGTGTTGATGGGTCCCCAGCCCTGCTCACCACCCTGATCCTGAGCTTGCAGGCTGAGCAGCCTGGCCTGTGTCCCTTCTAACCTGGCTGTCCTGACCTCCTCAGAAAGGAGACACAGGGTTCATGTGGGTCCGAACGAGCCGTGCTGTAAAAAACAGTTTTCTTGTGGGAAACAAGGCTTACAAGAAGTTCTTATGGCTTTGTCTCCTCCTAGGCTGCAGGTCAAATTCAGCACCTGACCCTCTCTCTATAGCATCTTACAATCTCCTGAGTGTGTTAGCGGCACCAGCAGTGGTAGCAGTTGCCCCCCAACCCCTGTCTGCGCACCAGCAGGGATCTAAGTGGGGTTTCCTTCTGCCCAGAGAGCTGTGCAGAGCATCCAGTTTGCCCCAAATGAGGTTCCTCCGCTATACACTGTCACCAGAACACACGTGCTCTGTTCCACAAATACTTATCCACACTGAGCAGGTTCCATCGACTGAATGAGGAAACTTTCCTACCCACTTCCCAGATGGGCACCCTGAGGCATAACTGGAGTAAAGCTGTCATATCTGTCTGATAAATGAGGGCCTGGACAGGGCACAGTGTCTGCAACTGTCCTCACAGCTCCCTTCACCTGGTCCCCTGCCCTGGGCACAGTGCCCCAGGATCCCCAGCTCACCTGGGCCCACCTGGGCGAAGAGCAGGCAGAGAGGCAGCAGCAGGATGTGGAGGAGCCTCATGCTGGCTGCCAGGCTGGGCGAGGGCAGGAGGAGGAGGAGGCTTGCAGGCCCAGCCACAGGCTTCCAGAGGCCACAGCGCCTCCCTCTTTATAGGGGAGAGGGTTGCGCCACCTCAGGGACTGATCTGCGGGGTGTGTCCCAATCAGGGAAATTCTCAGAAACAGTCCCTCCCGTGGTTCAGCTGCCTCTGCGCTTCAGGTGGACACACTCCCCATCCAGCTGAGGGGGGTGAGCTCTGACATGGGACCCTGAGGTGGCACCTCCGCTGCTCTATGCCCCCAACCCCCACCAGGCTGGGAGTTCTGATGAGTCCTGGAGAAGTTCTGGAGAAGGGGCTCATGCCCAGGCCCCTGGGTGGGAATGGCTCAGAGGGTCATGACAAGGGGCCTCAGGCAGCAGCGACCAGCAAGCCAGCTGCCAGCAAGCCGGCCTCAGGGTCCCCTCCTCCCGGGAACAGCCGAGCAGCTATTTCATGGAACCCGTGGAAGCAGGTTCAGCAGGAAGGCTGCTCTCTCACCCTTGCTCCTGCAGGGAACTTTCTCCTCCACTGGCCAACACAAGCCCTTCTTCCTTTCTTCCTTTCTTTTTAAAAAATATGTTCTTCTTGATTTCAGAGAGGAAGGAAGAGGGAAAGAGATAGAAACCTCCATGATGAGAGTGAATCCTTGATGAGCTGCCTCCTGCACACTCCACACGGGGTATTGAGCCTGCAACCCAGGCATGTGCACTGCCCGGGAATTAAACCTCAACCTCCTGGTTCATGGGTCGATGCTCAACCACTGAGCCACACCGGCTGGGGCCACATGCTGCTTGTTGCCTGCATGTCACACAGACACCTGTAGAGTAGGTGGGATTGTTGTCTGTCTGTCCTATGAGGTCAATCTTGCCAATGGCACTTACATTTTAGGAGGCAAGGGGCCCTCCAATTTGTCTGAGGTGAATCAGAAAGACACAGACACTAACATCTGCGGAATGCACTGGGGCCCAGGTGGTGGGAATAGGGAGGCAGGGAGACATGTCCCCTGCCTGGCTCAGCCCAGACGATAGCCAGGACCCTGACGGTGGGGAGACCTGGAGGGCCACAAGGAGGCAGAGAGGCCTCTCATCTCCCCAGAGGTACGGCCTCCACATGACTACCACATCCCCAAATTCACACGGGCTCCCCACAAACCTACACATGAAGGGCACAGGCATGTGGTATGGCACCGCGGACAGCCACCCCCTCCTGCTCACCAGATCCCCACAGGGAGGGTCTCTACACACTCAATGGGCATCTTGGGATGAAGGGGCCAATGAAGGAGGAGCCGGCGATACTCAGAGGATCCCAAGGCATTGGCACCTTAAAGAATACGCTTCCCAGCAACTCAAAGGTGTGTCTGGATGTTGAAGAGCAACGTGGGGCATGTTTGTTACAACAGAGAAGCTCCCCATGAACACCCTCTGCCCTGTGTCCTGCAGCTCCTCTGTCTCACTCTGTGTGACCTGGTGGGTTGATTGGTGACACCTGGTTGTTGACTTCACTCAGCAGCAGAGGGAACCCTGTGCAGCACCTCCTGGCCCCATCTCCCCTGGGGGCCAGGCCTTGTTACCTCCCCGGCCACATGCAAGTTTTGGCTCTCAGGGCTGACCACCCCGCACAGCGCAGCCCGGCCCACACTGGGCTCTGGTACGTGTGCTGAGTGAGACTGAGGAACAAATATGAGAGCATTAGGCTCCCGGGGAGTCTCTCTGATGAGGGCAAATCCACACCACACCCAGGGCCCTGCCAATAGAGAGGTGCCTATTGAGGGTTGGTTACTGCCTGGACTGGACTGCACCCTGACTTCCTCTCATTCCCCCAATATCTGGCTGTGAGTCTCCAAACCAGTGCCCCAGTCTTTCTCCCTGCCTTGGGCCCGGGGTCACTGAGAACTGAATCTGCCCTGTTCCCCAAAGCCAGGCAAATGGAAGTCAGACCAGTTGATTCCACTTCAGAGATGTCACCACAGCCCATTCATGGACCTTCTTCAGGAGGCAGAGCAACCAGAGACGCCCTCTGCAGCCCAGGAGAGCACATGGGGTCTCTGCCTAACTCCACCCGGTCTGGGGGCGCCCCCGTCAGCATCCAGAAACCTCCTCCACTAGACCCTGGGTTACAGGGTCCTCCAATCTCCACCCATCATTCTCTTTTGTTTGCATAGCAACGCCTCTCACTGAGTGCCCGCCTGCTTGCTCCCAGGCCTCACCTGGCAGCACCTGCGTCACCAACTCCCGAACTGAGAGCTGACATCTAACTGGACAGGAGTGAGGCTTCTCCTGACACGGACGCAGAGCAATCAGGCCTCAGCTGGCCCTGTCCTAAGACTTCTGCCCAAAGGCTCCCAAAATGTTGAGCTGGTTACAGGACCCATGGGGAGCGAGCATGTCTCTACCAGTGATGGCGAACCTTTTCAGCTTGGCATGTTAGCATTTTGAAAAACCCTAACTTAACTCTGATGCCGTGTCACATATAGGAACTTTTTGACCTTTGCAACCATAGTAAAAGAAAGATTTATATTTTGGATATTGATTTTATATATTTAAATGCCATTTAACAAAGAAAAATTAATAAAAAAATGAGTTTCTGTGTCACCTCTAACACACGTGTCAAAGGTTCGCCATCACTGCTCTAGCCCATGTCTCCCCTCTGAGGAACATGATGGGCCAGATAAGGCATGGCCACCCCGCTAACCAGGGACTTTAAAATGTTAGATTTGTCTGCCGGAACCGGTTTGGCTCAGTGGATAGAGCGTCGGCCTGCGGACTGAAAGGTCCCAGGTTCGATTCCGGTCGAGGGCATGTACCTGGGTTGCGGGCACATCCCCGGTGGGGGATGTGCAGGAGGCAGCTAATCGATGTTTCTCTCTCATCGATGTTTCTGACTCTCTATCTCTCTCCCTTCCTCTCTGTAAAAAATCAATAAAATATTTTTTAAAAAAAATGTTAGATTTGTCCTGTGAAGTTTTTGAAAGAAACGTCCTGGTCAAAGGGGGCGATGAGGAAGGAGTGAAGATAGAGAATGTACAAATGGACACAGGAACAAGCTACTAAAATTATGTATGCAATGAAGGTCGCGGCAGGAGGCCATGGTTCTGCGCTTCCTGTAACCAGCCTGGGTGGGTGGAGGCTTGAACTTTCCAGCCCTGAGTCAGTACCTGATTCTCATCAGTTCCCGCAGCTGCACCTTATCTCCAGATGGCCCCCCGATTGCCCCCGAAGGACTCCCCTCTCCAGACCGCCTGCTGCTCATTATGCAGGTCATCAAGCAGGACCAGACCTCCTGGCGCCCAGCTTCCAGCCCTGCCCCCCTCACCTGGACTCCTCTCAGGGTCGCTCCACAGTCCCAGATGTGAAAAGTGCTGAGGGTGGAATCTCTGTCTCAGAGCAAACAGTGCTAACTCTCCCATCAGCCCTAGAACCCACCGCTGGACACCTCAGTCCCCTCAGCTGATGAACTTACACAGGTGTTGGCTGGCCGGGAAGGTGGGCTTGGCTTGGCTGGAGGTGGTGAGACCCGGTGTAGGAGGGGGTGACACAGGAAGGGGGTGCAAGCAGTCTGTCTAGCTTTTTCTGGAAGCACAGACTCTGAGAGCTAAAAGAAAGCTGGAGGGCTGCTTGGAGGAAAGTGCAGCCAACTCAGCTCCCCTTAATCAGGGACAATGGCCTAGACTGGCTCCTCCTATGGGTGGGAGTCCCTCCAGGGCCTGATGATCCTGTTCTTCATTTAGACTGGAGATTGTCTGCAGTAAGAGACTAACCAAAGAACTTATATGAATACTAGGGGCCCCAGGTATGAAATTCATTACTGGAGGGTGGGTGCCAGTAGGTTCGGTTATGCTCGATGACCTTGAAAGGAACTGTGAGCCACAAGGCTGTAGTGGGTACAAGGGCAGGTCTAGGCCCATTCTTCATGCCCAGCACCTCCCACAGGGGCCTCTGTTCCCCTCTCTGCTGGCAGCCCAGCTCCTGCTGCCAGAACTCCCACAAGCTGATGACCAGACCCCACTCCCAACCACTGATGGCGGGGAACGATAGGGGCTGGCGTCATCTGGTGCCATGGTGGCTGCTCCCCAGATAGCCCCTCAGGAGCAGGGGGAGGTGGAGAAGCCCTGATGGGAGCCATAGGGCCCGGCTGCCACCTCTTGCACCCATTGACCGATATGATCACGTGCAAGGCTGGGCGCTGGCAGCAGGTGGGTGTGGCAGCTCCAGCTATGAATACGTGGGAGCAGGGCCTATGCCGGTAGGAGGTGTGAGTGCAGGGCAGGACCACGGTGAGCAGGAGCAGATAATTTTCAGTATCCACCAGAGGCTCACCCCGATGACAGAGACTGGTGCCCCACCTTGGTTGGGGCCCTGCCCACCTGCTCCACCATCCTGTCACAGCCAACACCCGCCAGGTTCTTCTCACACGCTCTGTTGATCAGCACGTCATAGCAACTGGTTGTTCGGTTGTCCACCTCTCTGTCTATTTGCATGTAAGGGTTTTATATATACAGATGTGCATAGCCAGGGACACACAATAATGCAGGGAAGGCAGGAAGGGGAGGAGTGGGAGAGGGTCATTGGGGGCTGAAGGGGTCGACCTGACCCCACCTGGTCCTGGTGCCCAGCACTGACGGCCTCGATACCCAGAAGCCACCTGTGACTTGAGGGTGAACTCGTCCTTCACTGTCAACCTGGCGGGACCTCCAGAACCCACGTGTCCCACACAAAGGTCACCCCTCTAACCCTTCCATTCTTCCTTCCCTCCCTGTTGTTCCTGCATCTCCTCCCCACTGGTTGTGCCCAGACCTGCTCTGCTTGGCCCCCACCTGTCCTCCATCTGCCTCCTGCACTCAGGGAATGGTCCCTGGACCAGGACACAGAGGCCTCAGTCCCATCCAGCCCGGCCCACACACAGGCAGCCTCCCATTGTTGCACCTCAGCGTCCTCATCTGGAAAGTGTGGTCCTGGGGATCATGGGGCTACCAGCCTCACTCCACAGGCTCAGGGGATGGTCAATGAGACGTGGGATGGCTGAGGGCT